GGACGGGGAGCCTCCTCCCAGCTGGAGGCAATCATGCTAAAAAAGAAAAGAAAAGGGAAAAAAAAAAAAAAACCAAACCGCCACCGAACAAAACCAAAAACCCCTTCCTTTGCACTCTTCTGGATAAGGAAAGTTCCTGCCCGTTAGAATTGTCCTCGGCGTCCCCAACCTTTATTGTTCTGGGGGTGAATAAATAGCCGGGACGTGGGTGCAGTGTGGGGAGCTGGTGTCTGTCTGTCTGTCTGTGGTCAGGGCACTCCTTGCCTTGTGGGTGCAGTGGCTCCGTTTGCAAGGGGGCTTTGAGGCAGGGAGAGGTCACCCAAGGGTTTTGGGGGGCTCCGGCGGGTGCCACCATGCCCTTCGGCCACCTGAAGTTCAAGGAGCTGGGCGAAGAGGAGCCCAGCTGGGAGGAGGAGAGCCTGGACAGCGTGAAGGCGCTGACGGCCAAGCTGAAGCTGCAGACACGGAGACCTTCCTACCTGGAGTGGGAAGCCCGGGTGCGCGGGCAGCCCTGGCGTAGCCGGACCCCCGGGGTGGCGCGGGGGGCAGAGCAGGGCCCTGGGCACCCTGAGGATGAGGGGGACGGCAGCATCTGTGGCTTCGCCACTGTGGAATCGGCTCTGGAGTGGCTCAGGACGGAGCTGGTGAGTAGCTGCTGGTGGGATGGGGGGCACGAGGGGTGGGCAAGGGCTGAGCCCCAAGGCAGGGACAGGGCCACAGGGCTCCTCCGTGCAGAGGGAGCGCTTGCAGCCCAACCCCACGCAGCAGCGACAGCCTGTGCCGGGGCCAGGGTGCTCCAGCCGTGGCGCAGTGCTTTGCTCCTTCGCCCAGCACGGCCGGCGTACGTGGATTTTTGCAAGGTGCGTGTGGCTCTGCGGTGCCGCAGCTCTGCCCGTGTCCCCTGCACGGCACTGGGGGTCACAGCTCTGTCAGGGTCTGCACTTGTCACCCCCTCCTGCCTGCTCTGCTGGTGGCATGGTGGACTTCATTGGTGTGGCACAGCTGCAGTGGCTTTCATGGGGTGGCACAGGCAGCAACAGTGATGTGGGTACAAACCCGCGGGCACCTCGGCTGACCGTGGGCTGTGACCCTGGCGCAGACGCTGTGCCAACCCCGGGACTGCGTGCGTGGGCTCTGTGCTGATCCCAGGGCCACGTGTGCCCTGGCCAAGCCCCAGCCCTGCTGCCCCAGCATCCCGGCGGCCAGTCCCGCTCCAGCCCTGACGCCCGTCTCCCCATGCAGCGGGAGATGCAGGCTGCGGACCAGCGCCTGGCGCAGCAGCTGATGCGCCTGCGGGCGCAGCTGCACCGGCTGAAGGTGGAGCAGGCCTGCCACCAGCACAAGGAGATGCTGGATGATGCCACCTTCGGCCTCGAGGGCTGCGAGGAAGACTCGGACCTGCTCTGCAACATCCCGCCCAAGGCCGCCTTCCTGCTCTCCATGCCGCTCAAGCACATCGGCGTCACCCGCATGAACATCAACTCCCGACGGTTCTCCCTCTGCTGAGCGCGGCGGGACCACACGGACTGCTCGGCTCCGAGCCCGGACGGGAGCTTTGCGGGCACCCATGGGTGCATCCAGAGCTGGTGGGGCTCACGGATCCCTCCCAAAGTGCCTCGGGGGCTGCGGAGTGGCTGCCAGGGCTGAGCTCCCTCGGGGCAGGCCATGGGGCAATGCCGTGCCACGGTGGCATGGGAAATGCCACCGTCCCCATTGGGCACTGGGTGTTTTGGGGCACCCAGTGCCCTGTCCCTAAGGATGGTGGGGTCAACCACAGTGGAAAATGCTTTGAGAAGGAATAAAAGGAGGTGAAGGTGAGAGCTGATGTTTTTTCCTTTTGTTGCATGTACCCGGTCACCTGCCAGCGCCTCCAGATGTGGCTCCCGGCCCTTCGCTGTGGGGAACATGGGGTGGCGGGAGGGACCACGCTGCCATCGCCCCTTCCCCGGCCGCTCCCCGGGGCTCTGGCTCACGGGGAAGGTGGCTTCTCACCGGCTTCTGCTGCAGGACGGTGCCGTACTGGGGAGACGGCGTCTCTGCTTCGGGGATGTCTCCCCGGGTGCCCCTGGCAGCGGGTGGGTGCTCAGGCTGCACCGTTGCAGGAAATGCTCGTCACCAAACCGGCTGCGAATGGAGGGGTTGTTTTTGAGGCTTCAGGCCAGGAGGTGCCGGGGGCCGTGCTCAGGGTTCGGCAGCCCCCGCGCCGCCGTCCTGCCCCAGCTTCTGACCCCCTGCAACGCTGCGCTGGGAGCAGGATGGACCCCAGGGGTAGTGCCAGCCAGGGCCAGCAAAGCTGCCCTCACCAGAGGGGTTTGCTTTTGGCTTTTTCCCTTCCTCCATTAGCACCAAACCCTTTACAAAAGAAGTTGCCGCTTGGGGATGCGGCTTTCACAGAATGCTTTTTGCAAGCGGTGCTGGGGAAGATGTGGGGTGAGCCGGGGAAGCTGTGGAATGACCCAGGGATAATTTTGGGGGCTGCTTCTCCTTCCCAGGGTAGCAGCGGAACACGGAGAAAACCTGCTGTGCACCCCGAGGCTAGGACACACCGCAGGGCCTGGCAGCGCTCCCCACCACCCCTTGCCCGGGGCACCTGGGGCATTGGCGAGCACAACGGGAACGGGGCTACGCGGCTGCCCCTGGGAAATGTCCCTGCTAGGGTGGATGCTGTGTTCGGTGCTGCCACCGCGGTGCCCCCCCAGCTGCCTCAGCCCCCGCGGCGCAGCTGGGCTTCCTGCCCGTGCCGCTGCAGAGCAGCGGGCAGGTACCTGCGGCTTCATGTTTGATCGCAAAAGCCAAGACAATAGTGTTGTGGTTGCTCTGCTCTGAGCTGTCTCCAAAAACACAGGGCTGGCAGCCTGGCCGGGGCACAACGTGTCCCCTCGGCTTCAGCCACTGTCACTGTGGCTCTCGGGGCGCTGGGGTCTGGGTGGCCCGATGGTGACAGCCAAAGTGGGGGCTGTGGGGTGCAGGATGGGTCCTGCAACTTGTGTAGGGGTCCCAATGGGGTCGGGGCAGCTGGTGCATGGCACCGCTGGCCTGCCCACGCTGAGCACTGGAGAGGGGACAGCACAGGCGACCGGGGGGCTCAGCTAGCCGGGACTGCCCGGGCAGTGGGTGACAAACCCCTGCCCATCGCTGGCCCCTCGCAGCACATCAGACTGCTGGGCTGGCCCCAGCCCACCAGACCTTGCTCTCCCATCAGCCAAGGGGCTCAGCATCACCTTGCCCACCTGGTCCCTGGGGGTTGGTGGCCGGGGGCACCCAGAGCAGGGACCCTCCATGCCAGGGATGGCAGGAAGCCATCGGGGTTTGTCACTAGCTCTTGCGGTTGTGCGCGAACTGCGAACCAGCTTCTCTAGAGTTTGCTCATGA